AGCAGTGGGAACTAAGGGGAAGGAGCTTAAGGGCATATTTATGTGCTGCTGTTCATACCTTTGAAAATATCTCATTGAAAGGGTAGCTGAAGACCTTGATGTGTTGTGTTTTGAGAACTGAAGAACTTGTTTTACTTTCATTATAACTAACTGCTATTTTTAGGAGTCTAGCTTCTCTGTGTCCAAAGTAACAATCTGTTTTGTGTTTCTCCCCCCCTCCCCCGTCGAATAAGCCTGCCACAGTCTAAAGTATTAGCATAAATGAAAGCTTTGAAGAGAATAATGAAGGTATTTTTGGAGCACATGACTTTATTGTGCACATAGAAAAACACATCTCTGATATTTTTGTCCTGATAATTGCTCTGAACATGAATTCCTGTTTTACAAGATGGATTTTTTGCACAGTGCTTAGGAAATGGAGTTGTGCCTCTTGCTGATTCTCCTATGGTAAAATACATACTAAGACTAAATGAGGGGGATCCCATTTGTGTAATAGAAGTAAGGAAGTAATTTTGGAGATTGGGTTTGGATTCCAGAACTTACTTCATATTACTGAAGCTGTCTCTTAATTTACAATCTTTGTTTTGGAATTCGTTCCCAATATTTTCAGATTGTTTCAAGTTGCATTTGTCCTGCATTTTTTCCTTCAGCGAGATAGGACATTCTGTTCAATGAGAAAATGTGACTAACCTTCTGATAGCTGATCCAGATTAAGTAATAATTATATCTAATTACTGTTCCTAGGGCGAAAGTAATTCTGCCGTATTGAAGTTCTTTTATCTTCAATTAACCTGGTCTGTTCTTACTGAAAATATTAAGTGAAGTGCCATCTTGCTTTAGGCGCTTCCTTTAAAGCTGCTAGCGCTTGTTTAATTTACCACCGTTGCTCAGTATCTGCAGTCCAGAGAGCCCCCCGCATTCACGCGCTGGCACCAGTAACAACCGTTTACCTGAGCAACACTGACCTTGCTGAGTGCCTGATTAGAGCAGCTGCCATCCTCCCAGTCTCTTTCTGTATAGACTGATGGCAAGGTTAGTGACCTGCTTTTCTGTTTTCTCCCTATACCATGCATTGCATTTTACAGGGTAGTTAAGAGGGGAGGAGTATGAATAATTTTTCCCTGTTCCTGCCTAGTAACAAAGTAGGCTGTATTATTTCCACTGCTTATGGAACATCTTGTGTAACTTTTGTTCCATTTTCAAAAAGCTGAGATAAGGATTAGGTTAATTTGGACACATATTCTTGTTAGACAAATATACTTTTTTTTTTTTCCTTCTCCCTGTGCTGGCAGGCCGAATATCGAGTGTTCCTATGGCTTGATTATAAGAATAAAGCTAAAGCTATTTTGAAATAGCTGGGAGAGTGTGAAGAAGTACTGGCTTCAGAATTGAAGTGGATTTATGTTTAAGTATTTCTTCCATTTTTATGTCGAATTTGATTTTTACTTCAGTGAACAGAACTCTTTTAATAATCTCATACCTGTTAGCCAGGTAGTCTTAATGCATCTTCCTCCTTCCTTCTCCCCTTTTTTCTACCCTGTTAGGTGTCTTTCTATATGGACCAGCCCTCTGCTCTCTCTCCTAGGGAAGGTGAAGAAAGGGGAGAATTGGTAAGCCAGAGATGAGGGGGACGGTTTGGTGTAGTCACCCAAACCCCACCTTTTCCAGCACTAATGCGTTAACAGAGCCAAAAAATAATGCAAAGTCCAGCTTAAGGAAAATTCATCTACAGATTTCAGTGACCCTAAGTTTTAGATAAAGAGCAGAACCTGGCTGCTTTTTTTTTTAATTTGTGTTGGCAAAAATTCCTACAGCTGGCTTGTCTGTAGAAGAGTTCATCAAATTCTTAGTAACTTGTTATCCGGGTAGTTGTTAATGTTCTGTCCCTGCTAGCACAACTGCAAGTTTAGTTTGGAAACACGGTGTACAGCTGTTTAACTACTGCTAGTAAGTGAATATGAGAGGCTGTTAGTTTTGGGTTTGATGCCTAGAATAAGGAATTCTTAAAAGCAAAATATACTTCCTTCTCTTGCCTGAAAAAAATGTATAGTCTGCTGTCTTCTTTTTACAAGCTCTGAGAATGCCTTTTTGATGTTTTTTGTTTGTTTTATTTTGTTTCCTAATCAAGAGTTTAAATCCAGATGAGGTAGAATAAATTGAAATTTAGTTATCCTCCTGTGTAGGACTCCTCTATGGATCTTCAATGGATCTTCAGTGATCATAACTTCCTGCTGCATTTATATCAACCTACATTAGTAGGGCAGTTACTTCATTTCCCTTGATAGCTACAAAATGTGCAGCAATGGACAGTATTTATGGAGCTGTTATGAAAAGAACTTCACACAAAAATAATATGTCTCTTTGAGACCTACTCATTTGCTTTGCCTTTCTGAACAGCTTCTCAGTCTATCGTTTAGTGGATCATTTTTAATGGGGGAGAAAAATCTGCTTGCAGAAAAGCACATTGAATGCCATAATGTTTGTAACAGTCCTGTAAATTATGTACAAAGTGTAGTTAGCACATACAAACATAGCATGACATCTGTGGCCTTTTACATTTTTATCGTCAGTTGTGCTGTTTTAACAGCGACTTCATATCAGAAAGTTCTTGCTATGTCAACGGTTTGTTTAAATAACATAGCTTTTTTCCCTTCCTGTTTGCTAGACAAATATTAATTTGCTGGAGATGCTGCCTCCAATCTCAATTCCTGCTTGCAATCTGACTCTGAGTTCTGTTTTATACAAGTTCAAGGAGGTTCACTCTGGGACCAGATTAGTTGTGATGGTGGGGAGAAAACCCTTGCTGGACGAAGAACTGTTTTTCTTGTATTTTCAAGGCCTTTCATTTCCTTGCATTTGCTGGAGGTTCCTCTTTAAATAAGAGCTACTTGAAATTTGTTACTGCTTGGAGACTGATGCTTTGAGTTTTGGTGATGCAGCCAAAGACAGGCAGCAATTATAGGTTTTCCCTATCCAGGAGTGTATGAGCCCTTATGGTCTTGAGGGTTATAGTTAGCTCCTGATGGGTACTCATTGCTGCTTGTGGGTGAGGAAGAGAGAGCACCAAGAAAAGGATTTGGCAGAGGAAGGGAGGGTTGGTTAAAATCTATCACTTCCTGGTTTCTTTTGAAAAACAGCTCTGATCTGTTTTGCTATCATTGAAGTCATATATGGGAAACTGATCTTAGACTTTGCCAAAACACTGTTATGCCTGGTATGTACAGCGAGATGCATCAGGAGCCTGAAAATCACTTAGTCTTATGCATGATGACCACTAAGTGAGCATTCCAAGATAAAATACATTAAGATAATTTCAGTTCATCTCTCATATATCTCATATCTAGGAGTGTTTTTCATGCTCCTTTGGTTAGGAGCTAAGTGTGGTCATTGCAGCAAATGATGAACAGTGTGTGTGCTACATACTGTGTAAGTGAATGCTCCTACAAATATACTACAAATATTAGTTAGCTATCAGCAGAGAAATCTGTACTGGCAACTAACTATATCCTTTTTTTTTCCTTCTTTCCTTCTAGTATTGGATGAATGAATATACTTCTTCTCTTGGAATTGGAGTATTCCATTATGTAAGTGAATGCTCCTACAAATATACATTAGTTAGCTATCAGCAGAGAAATTTGTACTGGCAACTAACTATATCCTTTTTTTTCTTCTTCTTTCCTTCTAGTATTGGATGAATGAATATACTTCTTCCCTTGGAATTGGAGTATTCCATTCAGGTATAGAGGTGTATGGCCGAGGTACGTACAAGGAAAACTCTTTTTTTTACTCTTTGTTCTGGTTAAGCTATTATTAAAAACCACCCTTTAGGCTCTGCTCGGGAAAGTTGGGCTCCCAAAACCTGCCTGTCAGTTTTCTCTTGAAGTTCTCATCTTTTCTGCCTCTGGAGAAAAAAACTTGGCTACCAATATTCTGGATATTGTCTTGCCTTCTTGTATAAGGCTGCACAGATGTGTATAATTTATTCAGCAAGCCACAGTAATACTTATTTTGTTGATAAAACAAATTTATGCTTCAAGTAAGTGCATTCAGCTCGTGTTTCCTCAGTGCTCTGCTGGTGCTTAATACAGGGAGTTAATGTTAACTGTAGAAACAGTAACCTGTTGCAGAGAAGTACTTGGAATTGTATGATGCTCAGTAAAAACAGTCTGTTTTGGATCCTTGCTAGTAGATGGTTTGTTTTAAAGAGAGACTTTCTTTGAAGGGATCTCATGCACACTGTGTGTTTATGAAAGATAAACCTCTGATGAATAGAGTGATACATTCTGACTTCAATGAGTAGGCTGCAGTCTGAGAATGCAGCTTTCTGCTTTGCACAGGGCACTTTGAATCCCCAGTGCTGTAGGAAGAGATGTTTCTAAGTCTGTTGTAGAACAGCCTCAGGTCTGAGGCGTTACTGCCTAACAGTGAAGCCACACTCCGAGGTGATGGTGCTGCTAAAAGTATTACATTTAAAATAAATAAAATGAAATAAAAAGAGAACTTCTCTCGGAATGTGTTTGGGGGTGAGGGGAAGCAGCATAATACATGTATTCCAAAGACCAGACTGTGGAGAGTATCTTAAAATACAGATGTTTCATCTACTATAATGGTAGCATTGTAACTGGATTTGCAAGTGTTATCAAAATATCGGAGAATGGACGACCTGCGTGATGATGTATTCTGAGCCTTGGGAAAAGGAAGTGTGAAGTCATGCTTAAAGCTTTTATTATGATGTGGGAGTAGCACATTGTGTTATCTTGCAGACCCAGAAGGAAACTCAGGCATGCTGTGATATTTTTCCCAAACTGTTGGTGCTTATGCCAGTGGATACTATAAACAAGCTTCAGATCTGTGCACTGGTTTACCTTCTTGGTGTGGCAAAGAACCTACCAGTACAGCTTACCTCCTGCAAATTAAGAAATTCAAAAGCACGTTAGGCCAGTGCTAACTGCCATGCTTCCAGCTGGAGCAGGCACTGAATGGTCAGGCTGTCGGGCCTTTGAAGATGGAGTACTCTGAGTCCTTAACCTGCAAATATGTAAGCATACGTTTAAAGACTGCATATATGAAAAGTACTGGGTGGATTTCTGGCTTAACTTGCAAGTCCCTGCTTATACAAACTGGGTGGATTTCTGGCTTGACTTGCAAGTCCCTGCTTATACAATGAAAACTATGTGTACATATTGTGAAGTTATTCAGGGTAAACCTTTATACTGACACAGGAAGTCTCCTTGAGTTTTTATATGCATTGACTGGAAGCTAATAAAACTATACACTTGCAATTCCTTGTGTATTTTGCCCATATAAATGTCTAATTTCCAGCTTTAGATCCTCATGAAGTGATCTTCCAGTAAATGGAGATCTGCTGTTTTCTACTGTTATTTTATGCAAGCTTTATTAAATGTGAGTTTTCTTTTTCAGAATTTGCTTATGGTGGTCATCCTTACCCTTTTTCTGGAATTTTTGAAATTTCACCAGGAAATGCTTCAGAGCTAGGAGAAACATTTAAATTTAAGTAAGAAAGACACTTATTTTCTTCCTTTGGAGGAGGCATGTTAAAAAGGCTATTTGTTGCATTTATTTTTTGAGGGCAGATGTATTGAATGGTATGTCAGGATTTCTGACTAGAAGAGAAGTTAGTGTGATTTCTTTGTCCCAGAAACAAAACGTGGGAAGGGGTGATGAGGTAGTGAAAAGTATCTGCACCAGGGAATATTGTCTTTAGCATACAGCCACATTCCTTAAGCGTATAGATTTGTAGTTAGCTTTTATTATTCATACAATATATACAGTGAGGTAACTTTTCCAAGATAGCGAAATCTTTACTCACAGAAAGCAAGTTGAAAACCTTGCTGAGGTTTCCCAGTGTCTCCTCTACATTTCCTCCAAGTTATTGCCTTGACTCTTCTCTGTGTTACCAACTCCCCTCTGTTCCCAGCTGTCTCTTATAAAGAATATGATTTGCAGAGGAGGCAAAAATTGCACCCACCATTGCAAGACTTAAATTGCAAAGAACTTAAGACAGCTACAGGCAGACAAACAGCAGGGAAATCGTCTCGTATGAGGAAGATGAAAGTAGTGCTCTAAGATGGAATCTGTGTTACTGTAGGAAGGCGGAAAGATCACACCACCACAGAGGGGTGATTTGGGGCAATGGGAGAACAGTGATCCACCTATTTCACAGAAGCATGATCATCCTCTGATCTTTGTTTCCCTTTTCAGAGAGGCTGTGGTTCTAGGCAGTACCGACTTTATGGAAGATGACGTAGAAAAAATAATAGAAGAGCTTGGAAAAGAATTCAAAGGAAATGCCTATCATCTAATGCACAAAAACTGCAATCACTTTTCATCAGCTTTATCTGAGGTAAAGCAAGCAACTGGGTTTGAAGAAAGGTGCTTCCCACATGGCTGCAAACTGTTAGCTCCTTTCCGTCTTTTAGATTGATTTCTACTTCTGATACCTTGGGAAAATATTAGAATTTCTTCAGCCTTTTTTGTGTGTTTATGTCCAAAATACAACACTGTGCTACCAAAAAGCTAAATATTTGTTACACATAGTCTGTGTTCCAGCAGGGATACAATTCCTAATCAGAAGACCTAGTAAGTATTAATAGAACAGAAGTGTTCAGGAAAAAAAAAAACGATATTTCAAAGATCCCTTTTAAAAACAGAACCACATCTTAATATTTTATCAGAAATCACCAGCTAATTTTCTCACAGAATATCGCACTAAAAATGTTTTGTACTTATGTCAGACTGCTAAAGAACAGCAAAACAATTAAAATTTCACAGACAACCTTGGTATTCTGTGAGAGAGGCTTTTGTCAAGTTATCCTGTTGCCAACAACAGTGTCCGGTCACGTAAACACCTCTGTGGTCAAGCAAAGTGTCCCGTGGTAGAATTGAATAAGTTTTGCGTTTTCCCTTCAGCTTAATATTAACCTAATTGGTTTGCCAATACAGTTGAATGCTTGTACCTGTGCAAGGGAAAAGGGCAGGAACAAGTACCCCAGGACAAAGATGGGAATGTCAGTAGTTTTATTTATAAATGCCAGTCTGTGTGTGTCAGAATTTGTTCTTTTGCTCATTCAGGCAAGAAAGAATTTTTTTTTTCCTCAAATATCTATACAACCTTAGTTCCTTCCTCCCCCCTTCAAAATAGTTAATGACAGTTTCTGCATAGACTACCTTTTGTATAGACTGTGTTTGATCTCTTAGTGGAATAGGAAAATTTTGTTGAAATGCTGATTCCTATGCAATGCTGATAGATGCAGGTAGGGTGAGAGCGACTAAGCTGCAGCTGGCATGAATTCTAGCCTAAAGGGCCAGGCCTCTACCATGCTCCTTGACCAAGAGCTTTTTGTTTCTATTTTATCTCTTGTCCTATTTCATGTTCATGTTAACTATTAAAAGCAAGGATAAAATTACAAGTTAAATGCTTTTCAATTACAACAGAATAGTGTTTGCGGTAGCTATGAATTTTCTCCAGTTTTATATTAGAGTAAATAGTAGAAGAAGTGAAGATGGAGGATGTTAAATAAAAGAGCTTGCTTCCTGACTAGTGACAGTGGAAACAAAATGGTTGATTTATGGTAAAATGAGCTTCTAATACAGCTATTTATTTTGAGTGGGAATTGAAACTAGTTGGATATTGTACAATTCTCTTGTTCCAGTAAACTTGAATGTTTGTGGTTGACCTGTGTTCTGTAAGACACTGACCTCTTATCCAAGGCATTAGAGACTATCCTAGCAAATGCCAGAGACTCCCAGAGTGGTTGAGGTCGGAAGGCACCACTGGAGATGTAGTGTGAACCCCTTGCCCAAGAAAGGGTCGCCTAAAGCATAGATGGAGACTCCACAAACTGTTGTAGTGCTCACCCGCGTGGTCAGGAATGGCCTTCACTGTGCGGCTCACGCCAGGGCACCATCCTTCTGACACCGTCTGTTTGACTGTTCGTGATTTCAGGGTACTTGCTTTATAATAATTTTTTCTTTTGAGAAGTTAGGTCTGAATGCAGAGCGTCTGTTAATTCCTATTTATGTGCTTTTTTTAAAAGGAAAAAAAGGATGAGGTTGCAACATTTTAGGACTTCTAAGTATAAAGCCACTTGTCAGACTCTCACAGTGAAAAATGTGTGTTTTGTGAGCAGGGACACAGCTTGGGGGACTGTCTTATGCAGTTAACTTGGGTGCTTCTTGACTGGCGCTCATGAAATATAAATTGTAAGGCTCTTGCAGCCTTTGCTGTTCTGAACAGCCATGTAGTTTTGTTACTGCTGCATCCACAATATAAATAATCCTTTCTTCCTCCTTTCCCCTTAGATCCTGTGTGGAAAAGAGATTCCACGGTGGGTGAATCGTCTTGCGTACTTCAGCTCCTGTATCCCATTCCTGCAGAGCTGCCTGCCGAAGGAATGGCTGACTCCCGCGGCGCTCCAGTCCAGCGTGAGCCAGGAGCTACACGATGAGCTGGAGGAAGCCGAGGATGCAGCGGCGTCAGCTTCCTTGGCGGCCTCGGCATCTGCAGCTAGAACTGGGCGCCACACCAAATTATAAGTCCTCCTCCTCCAAAGTAACACTTAAATTGAAATACTTCAGTTTAATCTCTCCAGCAATTGACTTCCTGACAGAACGTGAGAGCTGACTCTAGAACACTGTCCTTATATGCAAAAATGGCTCTCATCAACCTGTGTTTCAGCTCAGGATTATTTATGTAGTGAAAAGAATTGCTGAGAGAAAAGGGAAGGATTTTGTGTGAAGCCACCCTTTTCATTTTCACCTTTTTGGTAGACCTGGGTTAACTTAACATCTTGTATAAAGCAGAACTTAAATTATTTGTTTACAGTATTGTGTACTGCTGTTTACAAGTCCTGTAGGGACTCCTGCCAACATGAAAGAAGAGAGGATATGACTTTGATTAACTGCTGGTGTAACTCAAAGGCAGTGATGTTATGCCCTGGATGAACTCTTCCTTTTGTTTTAAAATTAGAGGCAGGTGGCCTTTAGATTTCTGAAAAATGCCAGAAACTGTTGAATACTATATATGTGAACAGGGTACTGTGCACTTAAAGTGGCTGAAGTAAACAGGTAGATTCCAGGATGTAGGGAGACTGATTTTTGTCTTAAGATCTGTTACTAGAAGTATGACCTCTACATTAATGAAACTGTGGATTTTTGCACATATGAAGGGAAATCTCATTACAATGCACATAAATCTCTGGGGGTTGGGTTTTCTTGTTTGCTTTTTTTTTTTTTTTGCCTTTTTTATAGCCATCTTGTTTTTAAATGGGCATCCTATCTTCCTTCTGTATTTACAGTCTACTTCAACTGGAATTTTGACATGTGAATATCATCTGCTAAAAGTATCAGCAAATTTTGCTGTTTGTTCTACTTGATTTAAAACTTGTGTTTGGAAGTTAGTACTTGGGAATGAGGGTTTCTTGCAGGGGCAGTTAGAGGGTTTTTTTTATGTAGTGTGTAATACACAAGCAAATTATGGTTGGGGAATGGCCTTTCTTTCTGCTGATGATTGTTTCATTGGAGTTTATAAATGTTTATAGCTCAAAAAGGAAAAAAAACGACACAACTTACTGACCAGTTGTGCATACCCACATGAATCAGAGAAATTGGGATTTACTTTCCTCCTATCTCTGTCTGTGGCATTATCTTTCTTATCAGATGTAATGAAGAAAAACCTGAAAATTGCTTAGGCACCTGTGTGTTTGCACAGCAGAACCCACTAATCTGCACACATAATTATATCAAAATGTAAGAGATGTTATTTTGTAAAACAGAATTATGTTTGCTGGTGGCTTATAATGAGAGTTAAATCATAACTAGTGATCAGAATATATAATGGAATGCCTTATTCTTGTTCACTTACCAAGAGAATTAATGGTTCTTCCAGTGCTTGGTGTGAGTTAGTGAGGTTCTGTTGTGCATTTAAGGATACAGTAGCACAACCATGAGTGAGGTGAGCTTGTGTATTTTTTAAGACTTGCTGCCTTAAACTGTAACAAAATCCACACCATCTGTAAACTGATCAGCTCACAAAGTGTGCATTACTAGAAGTATAAATGATTCTTAGGAGCTTTATTGTTAGTCTGTTTCTGGGCTTATTTTTTTTCCACTAAGTAGAATACTGTTTCTGCTATTTAAAAGGAGAAAAAAAAAAAAAATCTTAAGAGGCAAGAATGCCTAACGTTACAAATGCTCCTAGCCTTGGGTAGTCGGTGCCATTGAACCCTCAAAAAGGTGCATTAGACTATTTTCTAGAAATATTTCTTATGATGGCCAACTCCATGTTAGAAATGGGCAGAAGCTTTTCTGCTAGCAGTTGGGTTGAATCCTTTGTAAAACTGTCTAAGCTTTCAATGATCTTCTGTGTTGCAGTGTAGTAACAGGAGGAGAAAAAAATCAAGTGAGACTCTAGGAAGAGTGGAATAATAGTAGAAGTCTCTTTGACTGTAGTTTGGTATGTATTTAATAATCATTTCCCACTTAGTGAAAGAGATCAACTGACAGGTCTCCTACTAGCTAGAGTTAAACTATCTGTTTGATCTCCAGAAGGTGGACATACTGGCTCCGTATTGATTTTTTTTTTTTTCCCTTCACTTGAATCTTCAAATTTGAGTTTTGTTTATTCTTTTTTTTTTCTTTCTTTCGTTTTCTTTCTTTTTTTTTCCTGTAGTGAAAATGAATAAGGTGGTCTCCAGTTGACTCTCAAGCATTATTACAGATTTAAATATCGCACTACTTGCAGCTCAGGCAGCAGGCCACGGATGGGTTATTTTGTCTCTGCTGTGCAGTTTGTGGTAGTAATGTGACAAAGTCTCGCAGCCAAGGCAGGTCCTTTATTTCAGCTCAGGGTTGAGGCCACTGATCTAGCAACGTACTGTAGCTTTTCCTAGGCTTTACGGAGAATAAATGGAATGAATTTTCATTGCTACCTAACTTTTATGTACCAAAATCAGCTTTATAGGCTTCTAATATATCCAGAGCGCTAGGTCACAAATCTCTACACTGTCATTAACACACGCAACTACAGCATGTACAGTGCAAGAAACAGTGACAGATCACAGCACAGTTTTTATTTAGAAGTAAAACTAAGAATATTTTTTATAAAGCAGACTGGAAAGTTTGTAACAAATGCTTGTTTTATTGATAGTTGTACAGGTGAAAACGCTGTCTTATGCTCCTTTTTATTTCATTTGATTTCTTTCCCAAACGATCCATTTGTAAGTCATATGAGGAAACTGACACCTGAACCCTGGAGGCTGTTCGGTATCGGGTCAAAGCGAGCGCTACTGTTAACTTCCATCCCGTGCAGTAAACTCGGCCTCCACTGGATGCCTGAAAGAAGACCCCCTGCCAGTGGTTACTCCTATTTGTTAGCAATAGAGCAAGTTACCTTTCACCAGCACTACTGCCAAGCAGGGATTACTTTAGTCTACTAACGACCACACTGTGCTAGGACTAGGACACTCCAAAATGCTGTGAGAAAGCTGGACGCCTGTGGAGTCTTTCCATCAAAACGGGTAGAAAAATAATTCACTACTTCAGGGTTCTGCTCTGTTTACTTTCTCATCTTTGTTTAATTTTCTGTAAGATAGACTTTTGATACGTATTATATTCTTTAACTTTCTTTAAATGCCATTTTTTGTTCAGCAAGCCAAAAAAAAAATCCAATGTACTGTCAGTGTGCACCAGTAACTTCAGAGTGGCTTGGTAAAAATACGGTTGGAGTATTTCTAAAACTTGCAATGCAATTCTGATCACTATTGATACATGATAATTTTCACTGCTGGAAGTTGGTTACAAGCTGAATCTTCACTGACGCAAGTTTTGTAAACTTGTATTCAAGTTTACTGTACTTCATAGTATTTGTATAAAATTCAAAGAATTTTGACTTTTGTTACCTGTACATGACAACAAGTTGTCTATCATCTTAAATCCATCAGTTTATTAAAAATACTTTTATAAAAAAAATACAGCTGCCTGTGTTGCTTATTCTTCTGATACCTATAATTTTGTGTTGCCAGTGCCACATGAGCTGACCTTTTGACTTGAAAAAAGTGCTTTATTTAAAAAATACGAAACATTTTGGTAGCCTTACTATACTTTTGCTACTTAGGCTATAGCATATGCTGGGCTTGGGCAGCAGAACCTGTGGGCAGTTTGATTTTAGGGCATCAGCAAGAGACGTTATTTCTTCAATAGCACGTCAGATCCGAACACCTCATTGAGTGTAAGGGCAGGTCTCGGCACATCCAGCTGCCCAGCGTGGGTGCGGGCCGTGCTGCGGGGCCGTGAGCCGCCTTCTGCCAGCTCGTGTGAAACTCCGGCCCCACGCTGGGTGCATGAGGGGCTGCGCTGCCCCTCAGGGCTTAGCCCCAGTGCCCGGGCGGCGGGCGAGCGGCGAGGAGCCTCCGGACGGCCTCGGGAGCCCCTGGCCCCAGGCTGAACAAGACTTACTTGGGCTGGGCCAAAATACGCGACGTACCCCTGCAGCGGCTGCACTGCCCTCACTGTGGCCCAGCACTGACCCAGCCGGGGGAGGCAGCCCTGGCTGATAAACCCAAAAATCAATAACTGAAATGTGGGACTGATTTCCAGTCTGACTGTTGGGCAGCAGAGTGGCAGCCTGGCCCCAGGCACCTCTGCAGGGAGCCCTGGGTGCTGCAGGGGCCGGGTGACAGAGGTACAGGCAGCCTTTGAGGTTGGCACCAGTGCTCTTGGCTTCAGGCACCTGGAAAAGCTTTCATTTTGTAGGAGACATGGCAGAGCAGAGGAGATGTGTTGTAGAGAAGTTGCTACCAACTTACAAATTCAGGACCCTGACAGGCCCCAAGAGTGTGAGGCAAAAATCTTCATTTATTGAAGCAGAATTTATGAATTTGACAGTTTATCACCTAAAGCTAGTAATTTGAGTATAAAGATCTGTTTTGCCTTCTCTGAATTCTTCTAAGTTGTGCTTTTGCTGTACATAAAAATGCATATTGATTTTATTTAAGGGTGAGTAGCTGAGTTTATTGAACTCTTATTGAAAAAAAAATACGGATTTTTCAAATGAAGTTTCATTTCCCCCCAAAAAAAATCTTTATGCATGCAAGGTTTGTCTTGCTTTTTTGTTTTTAGGTTTTTGGTTTTTTTTCAAATGAACAGCCTCTTAGTCACTTTCCTTATAGCTAGAGCCACTTTAATATGCCTGTCCCCCAGAATAAATACCCTCCCCTTTCTCCACAGTGCTTCATATAACACATTGAAAATGGGTATTAAATTGTTTCTGTCTTTCTTTAGTCTCCTTTGGTTTGCTGTCATGGCTGCCTCAGACATCGCTTTGAGGAAGCAACTGTACTCCACTGGTAACTCCATTTTCTACCTGCCTAGAGTAGGAATTCCTTACTCTTTGTATGCCTAGATCCACTAAAGCAGCATATCACAAACCAAAGCAGGATGTAGCCATGAAGAAATGTTACATTACTCATTTGCAGCTTGACCTTGAGAAGGTGGAGTGCTGCTTGTAACTCTGGGCTCTGCTTCCAGAGGAAAGTTGCTCCTAGATGGACTAGTTCTCTGTGCCTGTCCATCAGAGGAGTTCTTGGAGGCGAGCCCAGCGCTCTCCTTCAACAGAGGCAGCAGAGGAGCTTGCTGCTTCTCACACTTTCTCATCACAGCTGTGTATTAATCCTCTAATCCCCAAACCAGACAGACTATATCACCTACTGATGACTTCCATGCTTTTTCCAGCCTCCTACACTTGTTTGGAAATTTTTGCTCTCTGAATGAAGCCGGAGAAACTGAAATGCGGACCTCACATGGGAACTATGGGTTTCACTTCTAAGACTGGGGGAAAGAGATGGTAAGATTTCCTTTTTTTTCAACGCCTTATCCCACATCACTTTTATACAGACTGAAATAAGGTGACCAAGCCTTTTAGAAACCCCGAGGATGTGGGCAAACCCTTCTCGCTTGGGTTCCCCCAGCCAGGCATAGGGAAGGGGACAGGACATGGCAGTGGGAGAAGCTGTTCCTGGGGCCGTGCTGCTGCTGTGCTGACAGAGGCCTCACCTCCTAGCCCTGGTGGCGACAGAGCTGCCACACGCGTGAGTGGAAGGCCCGTTCTTTGGGATTCGGGTTGGCTGCCAGCACGGGGCTTCCTTTCCAGCAACACAAGCGGCGTGGTCAGTCTCCCAAAGCCGAGCAAAGACAAGTTTTTTTCATGCTGCAGCTGAAACATGGTTGATTTCCAGAGAATGAGCTAAAGCAAGGAGGAGGAGACACTCTCTGATCCCAACAGGCTTTTGAGTGACACCCTGAACGTGGGTTAGGCTGGGTTCCCTCATGTTTCCCATCTCTGAATGGTCATTACTGCCAGCTCAAGCGAAGCCAGGTCTTTCTTCCCAGAATGAGAATAAAGCCTGATGAAAACCATCTAATGACAACACAAATCATGTTGAACAGAAAGTGACTTGTGCTGCCTGCTTAGGATTCTGAGGCTTGGAGGTTTTGTTCTGTTTTTTCCATTCCTAATTTGCGTCTGGGAACTGCTCCCTCCTCCCAGCCTTAACAGCACACAAACACAATAGCTTGTTGTTTGCCGCCTGGAAGGAATTGCCAAACATTTAAATAGCTAGAGTTGAGTTTATTTTTCCACTATGCTTCAGCTCATTCATTACTGCAGACATAGCATACTAAAAGCAAGGATTTCCCAAAGATTTGGAATTTTCCTCGTTCTTTTTCCAAGAGATGTGCTGCATCTTAAATTTCATATGCCATCCCTGTGATAAAATCACCAACGACAGTCCTTCCAACAAATCAGTTCACATTCCCTTAACCAAAAATGAAGTGAACAATAGTAACATCTGATGGTGATGTAGCCAGCTTGAGGCCAATTATTTTTGATGTCAAAGAAACTTAGAAAGTTTAAATAAAAATAGCAAGCAACAGCTGACGAAGCAGTAGTCTGCCTTGCTCCTGCATCCGTGCGCTTGTTTTGTAGGCTTGGTTTGGATTTTTGTAACAAGTGGAGCTAAAAGTGCCTATGATGCCTAACAAAATTCATTTGCACTGCCTAGATCCATGCCTGAAAACTGCAAATTGCTTCCTGTAATGACTTCAAGGTTGCTCAATTACGTCCCTTGATTTTCCTCTATTTCTAGCTTTCTGTGAGTACCCCACCAAATATATGTCTACCACCATACTGTGCCTGCAGCCTTTTGTTTTTTCCCCAGTTTCTATTCTTGAGAAGGCTTGGGAAGTAAGAAGAGTCATGAAGGATAACACCGATCTTTGTAATTCCTCCAGCTTTTATTTCTACCTTAAAAAAAAAGAAAAGGCCCTCAAGGTGCAGCTGCTCCTCAGCAGTGCAGTTCAGCCCTCACAGCTCATCCCAGCTGGAGGAGCCTTTGGTGCAGGAGGCCGAGCGGAGCAGGGGGCCACTCGCCAGGCCACTCGCCTCAAGAAATTCTCCAGGTTTCCAGCACCGGCCACGACGAGGCTCTGCAGAACGTTCTCACCTCTGAAAGTGTTTCCTTTAAGCTGCTTCGCCCTTCCAGGAGCCTTAGGGCTTCTGTGCACCTTAAGAGGTTTAAAGGAGCGATCGTCCCCGCAGGCCAGCCCGCTGCCCCGCTGCCTCTGCCCCCGCCATGTCCCCTTGCTGTGCAAGGCCGGGGCTCACCCGCAGGGAGGCGGCAGCCTCAAGACCTCGCTTGCATCGAGCTTCCAAGGCCAGCGGGTTCCGCCGGCAGCTTTGCTGAGCATGGAGCAACTAGCATGGAAGTAGCCAACAGCGCCTGGAGACAAGCACTTACTGGCCTTTACTTTAGGCCCTTAATCCACCTGAGAAGGGATAGCAGCAAAACAGCGAAGTCTGATGGGGGTTCTGTGCTGGTGCTAACATTGCTAAGATTTTCTTCTGATAAGAAAAAGAAAGGCTTTCACAGTGAATATACCAACATATTTATTTGTAACATATCAATACCAGAATTAAAACAAGGATGAAGAGGAAAGTTTGTGTTCATGTTCCTTCCTTGTCTTACTCTGTGGCATAAGATATCTGTAATAAATCCAAAGTAATCAGCTCCTTAGATTCATCCTTTTCTCCCTCCCTCAGTCTTCTGCAAATGTTCAACTTTCTGAAGAGCTTCAGAAGAGGTGCCTTTTTCTCCCTGTTTCTCCCTTCCCTGACTTTGTCATTTGCTGATCTATCCTTCCCACTCCTCTGCTTTCTTATCTCCTGGGGAAGTTTCCTGAAAACTGTGTTGAAGAACTTCCTACCAACAGAAATATGTTCTTGTTGCCTGAAAATTGTCTTGAAGTACCAGTAACCAACAGAAATGGGCTCTCGCTTTATCTCCACTGCCGGTGGTCTTTGCAATGTGTATCTGGCATTCAGGAACAGCTGGATTCTGTCCTTCAGTTTCCTCCAGCTTCCTCTTAACTTGGAGTGTTCTTCTGACTGTCCTCCCATATCTTCCAGGTCACCTTTAAAATATTTTGCCATCTTTCCAACCAGCTATTAGAGTTGTGTCTGCAGGGGAGAAAATGGGTAAAGCTGATTATCACAACCATAAGTATTAATCTTTTAATTGTATAGGGGAGGAAAAAGTCCTTAAGAGCATACTTCTAATGACTGTCCGCTGGATTTCCCTGCTAGGCTTTGAGAAATATTAGAGGTATCATGGCACACAGGCACCCGTAGTACTTATTAACAGCTCTTCGGTTCTTCAGCTGTGGAAGCCTGTACTGATGACATCGTCATTCCGTGATGATCTCATAGGAAAACCTGCTCTCTCCCTGCCGAGCAGCCGGGAAAAGGTCTAGCAGTGCCACGTGCCCAACAGCAACTTGCTTTGGGGGCAACAGTCATTAGGATATGTTACTCGTAAGGTTAAATTACTGCCATTTGTGCCCACTGCTGCCGTGTGCAGGCACAAGCGGGATAGTGTAGGAGGCCTAGAAAGGAATTTCAAGGACCTAATCTAGTTTTGCTTCTTCTATCATCAATTTGATGCTCTTATGCCTGGTAAAACTCTGTAAGTTGCTATGCAGGGTGAGGATGGGCTGCCACCCTGACCTAATGTGCTAAAGCTGCTTTTAAATTTTAAACAGGGTTTTTAAAGAAGGCTTTCCACCCTGGCACCTGCAGTGTTTGAAGAAATGCAACCAAAAACTTCAGGCACGCTTGAGTCCAAAGGGTTTCCTCTTCCTAACTAAATGCACAGAGAAAATCCCTAGTTACGTAGTACAGTGATTTGGGTTTGCGGTTCTTTAGCAGAACCTCCCTCTGCAGAGAGACAAAGGTGGAGAGGCTTGAAAAAGCCCAACCATCCATCCCCTGTGCAACATTTTGCACAGGCCTCCCACCCCCTGGGCCACAGGACAAAAGGACGTTGCAGAGGTGCTCCCTGGAGCCCTCTCCAGCAGCTCAGGGCTGCCCTGCACAGGCAACGCTGCGGGACAAGAGGTGTCCTGGAGCCTCACTGGCCCTCTGGGAGCTGCTGGCAGCAGGCGGAGGATGAGCAACCCTGGCCCACAGATCACCCGGCAGGAGGTGCGGGATATTTCTTCTTCCCAAGGCCCGGGGTCTCCTGCCAGTCTTGATGGAAAAGTAACAAAGCTGGGCAATAAAATACAAATTGAAGGGGGAATGAAGTGTTGTGCCACCAAACTGCACAGCAAGCCTGGGTCCACAGTGCTTCCCGCACAGTGGGCAGGGCGGGGTGGGATAGGATGGATAAGGGGCTACTGGCAGTGTCAGTATAAGGACATGCTTAAAGCAACAGGGATAAATGGTTTGGCTCTTATAGTCAATACTTTGTGGAGAAATTAAGGGATTTTTTTCTAATGTTTACATTCCCATCTAAATTAGAAAAAAAAAAAAAAAAAAAAGGAGGCTCTTTTTTGCCCCTAGTGAAGACTTCAGACAGAGCTTATACAAAGTTTAGGACAGAGTAAATGTGGAGGAATTAACTGTTTTTCTCAACAAAGCTGCAGACTTCTGGATTTAAGGACTCCATGACTCTTTAGCGAAGGGATTAAAGAAAGCACAGCCTCAAGATCTTTTTCTCACTTGGGGAAATAGAGATTTGACTCAAGTGAATGTAATTATATTAACACACATTTAATGCAGAAGGCACCTGAATGGTATCCCTAGTATCGAGTTAAACGAAAATAGTAACTAAGATCAGTCTGGAAAGCCTGGTGGTCGACAAACAAACAGCTGTGCAACAGGAGTAAAATATGCTGGCAGGGCTGACCTGCTCCTTGCACTCATGCTAAGCACAGAGAATCCCTCCCTGTGATTTTAACCCCGGAAGAAGCGAAGTGGCCAACTCACATTAAAGTGAGCTGTGGGCCCGGGCAGCTGCTGCTATTGCGCAGCAGCAGAGAGCGCGCAGAGCTCTTGACACCGTGCAAAGAGCGAGACAGGAATAACAGCAATCGCAGTCTGGGCCGCCACGGCCATGGCATCAGACACCACCAGATGGCGTCCCGAAATGCGGGGATCCACGGAGTCCATGCTTCTGCACTCTTTTCTCCGGCCTAGGAAGCTGGCACAGATGGGCTCTCTGGAAATGTCCTGGCGCAACTAACGCTATCGCTCATGCCTCACGGTTTCTTGGAAAAAGGAAGCAAAACAGGTGAGGAGAAGATTTAATATGTTCTTCCACAGCCTCTGTGCTGATGCCTGGCTGTTCTTACACACTCCTCCAGCCCTGTGCTCGGAAAAGGCCTATCCTCTCCTCCAACTCAAGGCCTGCCAGGAATGACCGGCAGCGGCGCCTGCTCTCCCACCAGCACCAGGCCGGCTGCTTGGTGCTAACGCACAAAGTGGCCGCTCGCCAGGGCTACCAGCCCCTGTGCCATGGCATCGGCTTCTGCACAACCAACCAGATGCAGAAGAGAAATCCCTACTTGTCTCTCTGGTCTTCTCCAGAGGGCTTAATTCACTGAAAGAAAAGAAGAAATAGCTGAGAAACACAGAGAAGCAACTGATTTGCTGTCTTCCCACCACTGAAGTGGAGACTGAAGACACATCATTAGACAAAATAAGGAGAGTTGTCCTTTAGCTGTGGGTCCTGCACACAAACCTCTATTTGTATTAAGTCAATCCTTACAAACTACTTAAGTCACCAGAATGACTTCCTGAAGTCACTCTTGAAGTCACACTTATTGAAGGCATTCAGGTGAAGGCCCTGTTTGCTTGAGGTACAAGCTGCATCCTTCTTCCAAAGCCATCTCAAACAGCTACTTTTTGTTATGAACCTACAGGCAACCTGGATTCATATCTGTACTTCATAAAGATGTCCCTAAAATTTAGGTGTCTTTTAGGTGCATCACTGCTAGGGAGCTCTAATAGGTTTCATTAACAGCAAATATAGATGACTAGTGTAGCTCCCAAACTTTGTTTTTGGCTAATCTTTGAGAAGAAGGAACAGTTCATCCACATGACACATTTTCCCTTAAGTTGAGAAACCATCCAGAGAGAAAGTGTATCATTCAACGCCCAGTTACTCAAAGTTTATGGAAGGCCACGATTAATAAAAAGTATTGGCTAATACCACTAATTCTGCTGATGTAAGTCGAAGTCACAGGTCCCAAATATGGAAAGGTCCTAAGTCATCACATAGTTGTTGAGCCCAAGTAACCATCCATCCGGCATGCTTCATTTAAGGATGAAGTCCTAGAGTGTCGGGATACCTCACGTATTAATCTCCCCAAGACACAAGGTCAGTTCTCCATTTTCTTGCCATTTCTTTCTTTTGTGGTCTGGTGCTGGAAAAGAGGGCCTTTCAAGTGGCTCAGCTTAGTGAAGACAAAGCCTACAAACACAGTGAGATTCATTTTAATGTGGTTAGTAAAATTTGACTATTCAAAGCAGGTCTCAAAAGGCACAACAGTGCATTTGCACCTAATGTTCTTCAACTGCCTAAGAGCAGTAGGTAACATATAACTTGTTGGTACCACTAGACAGTCTGAGGAACCTTATCTGGTAGAACACTTATTTTTGGCATAGTAGAAGAATTCCAAGATTACCTGCAAATGAAGTATAATACATATAAGGCTGCTGGGTATCACTTTAAAGTATATTTAACATGTTACCTCACAGGAATATGACAGCAGTAATCACAGAATCACAGAATGGTTGAGGTTGGAGGGCACCTTTGGCGATCATCTAGTCCAACACCCCTGCACAATCAGGGACACTTAAATCACCCATCCTTTCTCGTATCAGATCAATGAAAGAAAAAAACATGTCATCTAAGTGGGTAAAGTTTCCAAGTGCAAAAGTAAATATTTACATTTGGACAAAATGAAATCAGACAGTTAGTGCTGTTTTTTAAAATCTAGGATCAAATATGCAAGCTTTATTCCATGTATGACAGAGATTCCTTCCTCATGAGCCAATATAACAAATACGTTTGGGGTGGGAGCAGCAGCAGAGAGACTGAGTAGCACCTTGAAGCATGGGCAGGGCAAATACAGGTCATTTTGTATCCATGTGGGCAGATTAGCCCTCTGACCCCGGCCCTCATTCTCCCTCAAAATTTCTCAGGAAACCTAGAACCACCCTCCAAGCCAGGTCAAGCAAAAGCCAGTCCAAGAACAGCCGTGGATACACTCTCTACATTTTGGTGGCGAAAGAGGAAATTACAAATCCTCCCATCTCTGCTGGCCCCTGGGAACCCTGCACTACAGCAGCAGGGAGAGGCAAAGGCACCCCTGAAAGCCGGCGCTCCTCTGGCCTCTCATCCCCGGCCACAGGCCGACCGGCCCAGATGCAGAGAAGCGATGAAGAGACACAGCGGGGCCAAGGGAAGGCAGAGGCCCTGCACTCATCCAGCTGCAAGCTGAACAAACTGAAGTCTGTATCTAACCTTTGGAAAGATTTTCTGGGGAAAAAAAAATGCTTGGACTGTAGATCGGGTGAGTTTAAGTCATCCTCTTTAAATTTACTGAAATGGTCACGATAAGTCATTGGCTCTCAGTCGACCCGATCTGGCCCTTCAGTGAGTGGCTTTTATTTTCGGTGTTGTGGGGCATTGGCCACCCCTGGGCAGGACGTGGGCTCCTCTCAGACTGACCCGCAGCCCTCACCAGCCTGTCTGCCACACACAAGCCGTCGGTTTTCTTTATACCACGAGTCGTTCCTTGGTTTCCATGGAAACTGGTTGCTGTGGAAATGCTATTATGAAAAAGATTTCAAAGATTAAAGCTAGCAGATTTGCTCTAAGGAGAGTAGAGCACTGAACTGCTCTGTGCATAGCCTCAAGCTGGTTTCAGATCAGCCCTGTCTGAAGAAAATAAAATGGGATATTCCAGCTGTTATGTAAGTTTATCTTGAATTTGCTCCCTCTTACACAGGATGCCACGTGCACTGGATCTTGTGTTCTGGGAAAGAGGGGCATGCAAAGCTTTCCACAGTCGCTCTCAGTAAATACATGCATTATTCAACAAGACAAAGTCATGCCTAGCAGATAAGCTCTGTAGTGACAAAGAAGTGAGCCAGTCTTTGATGGAATAATTGGCAGAAGAAAGTGCAAAATTTAAAAAGCTTAACTCTTCCTACATATGATACTATTAATTACTTGATCAAATTCTATTTGGAAAGAGTCCATGAAAATACATAGAGGCATCTAGCCTAGCAGAAGCAATGCCATGATCCAGTTTGCGTAGTACAGCTGAGCTCTGTGGTTAACGCTCCATACTCAGAATGGGTAGAGTGAAGACAAGCTGGGCCCACAGGAACAACATCAGTGTCTCTTGTGAGAGGACATGGAACAGCCGTGTGCACTGTATTCCACACGTGTTCAGGTTGATGAAATGTTAGCACCTGGAAGTAATCAAGTCAGTGGAAGAAAAGCCTTCCTTATGGTTAGTAATCAGGCAAATGAGAAGAAACACCTGGTGACAGATGTTACCAGCAGGGAATTCATTTTCAACACGAGTTCTGATAAACTCGGTAGGACTTGCTCCAATGTTTTACAAATAATACACTATCAAGAAGCCAGAAATGCTTAGGGTAGCCAAATAAAACAAGAATATCTTAGTTTCAAGTCATGCAAATATCAGAGCTGAGCATGGCACTTATAAACAAGTTCTCTATTACTGAAAAGTTTCCTGTGTTCCTTGGTGCAGTGAAAGCAGCATGATCACACAAGCTTTCTGTAAACTATTTGCCTGCTTCTGTTGTTTTGAAATTTACTCAAAATTACCATCCTGAATTATCCATGACCATACTGTTGAAAGGACTCCCATAGCAAGGCTCTGCAAAACTTGGAATATAAAATTAGAAATCTTAGGAGTTCAATTCCTGCTTTATTGTGGAATGTTTCATCTCTTTATGCAGTGTAAAAGCACTGCTATGGAGGCCTCAGGAATATAAAGTCTAATTACTGTAGCCACATAACTAAGTCATAAAGAAATTCACAGTACTACTAATAACCAATTAGTTGCTAAATTAAGAAGCAAGCTTTGATGGTCTATTGTCCATCAAAGGAGAAACACAGCCCCACAGCAGATAACTATGGTATTTTATGGAAGAAACATGTAGTTCAGAAAATGTCTAAATAAGGCATTTGAAGATTCACAGTGTGAACAGGACAT